GTGAGGGGTGGAGAGTGAATGGGTAGTCAGTGGCCCATCATCACTTCATTTTTCTGGGTGAGTGGCAGCTGTGGCCCTGACAGGATGTTGGAGGCCATACCAGCACAAGTGAGATGCATAACTTGGCTGGTAGGTCAGGCTGGTCAGCAATTTCCTTAAACACTGACTTCAAGTCTGTGACTGCATGGGCCATGTGGGTCCTGCCACTTGTTGCCACTTGTGCCTTAGTGCCTTGAGGTAGACTGACTTTGGTTTTGTCGTTAAGTGCCATGGGAGTGGGCTCCAAACCACACTGAGCCACGTCCACAGAAGGAAACTGGCATTTTGTGATGGACTCTGCCGTCCTCAAAGTCTGTCCTGCACTTAGGCCCTTTGTTGTGGTCACTGTGTCAACTCATTTTGTTGAGGGTTTCCCTTTCCTTCACTGAGCCTCACTGTTCCCAACCTGATGTCTTTTCCCAAGAGCTTGCCTCTCCTTATAACATGCCCAAAGTATGCGAGACAACGTCTCATCATCCTTGCTCCTAAAGAGAACTCTGGCCAGATATCTATTAATCTAGCAAATTATTTACTATTTTTCTATTTATTTAGTCATTCATTATTTCTTTTTTAACTATATTACTTTTTACTATCACTATCAAAAACTCCTAATGCTAAAAGAGAGTTCTGTGCACTGCTGGGGAGGGAGACTGTATCTTCTGCAGGTAGGGGTGTATATACATAACAGTCACACCATAGCGATGTGCCTAACCCATAGTCTAGAAACACAACTCTGGAGAATTTTCTATGTAGAAGTGTAATAGACCAAGAAAAAAGTTGTTGTTGTTGTTGTTGTTGTTGTTATGTGCCATTGACTCACCTGTGAGTCATAGCAACCTTATGTACAACAGCCCTAAACCCTGTTCTATCCTGTGCCAATTTTATTGTCTCTGACATACCTGCCCCCATTACTCCAGTCACAGAATCAATCCATCTCATTGAGGGTCTTCCTCTCTTGCACTGTCCCTCCACCCTCCCAAGCATGATGTCCCACCCTGCAATATGTCCAAAGTATATCAGATGAAGCTTCAGAATCCTTGCCTCCGAGGAGCAGCCTGCTCTCACCCTTTCTAGGTTGAACTTGTTTGTTCTCCTAGCAGTCCATGGTATATTCAATACTCTTCTCCTGCACCACAGCTCAAAGGCATCCATTCTCCTATCATCTCTAGTCCTTGTCTAGCTCTCTGACGCATAGCAGGTTATTGCAAAGATCATGGTCTGGATCAGGTGCACCTTAGTCTCCAGATTGACATAGTTGTTTTTCAGTATTTTGGAGAGGTCTCTGACAGCAGACTTTCCCAGAGCAATTAGTCTTTTAATGTCCTGGTTGCTGCTACCAAAGGGTGTTGATTGTGGAGCCAAACAAAATAAAGCTGTTAGCAATCTCAATCTCTTCACGTAATTATAGAGAAACGCCTTCATGTTATACACTTGAAAATAGTAAAATTTATGTTACATATATTTTATCAGAGTAGAAAACAGGAGGGAGGGAAAAAGGGCCTATACAGGGAAGAATTAATGGAAAAGGACACACAACTATGGCCTTCAGTAGAGAGCCTTGGTGACCCAGGTGTAATAAGTTGTGGTATTAACCCAAAAGCTAAACCATGGTAATGGTTCAGATACACCAGTGGCTCCAAAGGATTAAGATTAGTAATCTCCTCCTGTGTGGTTTACAGCTCTGGAAACCTGATGGAGGGTCAGCTATGAGTCAGTATTAACTCTGTGGCAATGACTTTGACTTTGTTGTTGGTCTTCAATATATATTATGTCTTCCCCCCCCAGTTTATTATTTTTTGTGTGTGTACTGTCAAATTGGATCTGACTGGTATAGGAGATTGTCTCTCCTCCAGTAGAGCATCTGGTGGATTTGAACTACATACCTCTGGATTGCAGTGCAGCTTCTTACCACTAGGCTACCAGAGCGCTCTGTGTGTCTTAATATAAAGAAAAAAAAACTTCACAATGGAATCAATAAGCGATATAATGATAAACTGAAAAAACTATGAAATTGTCAAAGATTTCATTTACCTTGGTCAACAATCAATGCTCATGGGCCAGCAGTACAGAAACCAAACCATGTATTGCAATGGGCAAATCTGTTGTCAAAGACCTCTTAAAAAACAAAGATGTTAATTTGACGACTAAGGTGCATCTGGCCCAACCTGTTGTATTCTTTCAATTGCCTAAAGTGGTAGATAATGAAAGACAACCATAGAATAATTGAATTATGTACTGGTGAAGAATATTGAATATACAACAAATTGCAAAAATGAAAAAAGAAAGTCTGTCATGGAAGTAGTACAGCCAATATTCTCTATTAAGCAGATTATCAGGAGGGAACAACCCCTGAAGAAGACATTATGCTTGGTAAAGCAGGGTGTCAGCCAAGAGGAAGACAGACCCCAGGGTGACAGACAGAGGTGTGGTTACACGGCAGACTCACATATATCTATTATTGGGAGGGTGGTGCAGATCAGGTAAAGTTTTGTTCTATTGCATGAATCAGAATCAGATTGATGGCACTGAACAATGACAGATTACGATAACAACAGCCGAGTTTGAGGACGGAGAGGGATCGCAGAAGGATGTCGCTGTTATTGTTAGGTGCCATTTGAATCAGCTGCAGCTCATAGCAACCTGTGCACACAGAATGAAACTCTGGGCCATGCCTGCTTCTAAGGAACACTTGGGCTGTGCTTCCTCCAAGACAGATTTGTTGGTTCTTTTGTCATTCCAGTATTCAGTATTCTTTGCCAACACCACAATTACAAAGCATCAATTCTTTTGTGGTCTTCCTTATCTATTGTCCAACTTTCACATGCATATGATACAACTGGAAATTCCATGGTTTGGGTCAGGTGTGCTTTAGGTTTGCCACTGACAAGCAATGGTGGGTACGAGAGGGGAAGGACAGGGAAGAGACTGATTAGTGAATGGATGGTAAAGGAGAGGAAAAGAGAGCACAGCAAGACCTCAATGGGACATTGGAAATAAGATCATTACACAATTGTAATTGTTATAAAATGAACTGTATGAGAGACTGAATGAAAATTAATTTTTTAAAAAGTGACTTCCTTTCTTCCTAATGGTTCTTTCAAGGGAAATCTTACCTCTGCTTTTTATAGGATCAGTCAATAGTCTCTCAATCTTATTTATTTTTTTAATTCATGTCTTTTATTAACTCGTAATTACTTGTCCTCTGGTTTGTTGAAGCAGTAGGTCAGACAACACTTACCACAGTAACATCAATATAAGTGGCTGGCCATAAAAACTCCAGCACCACATCCATCTGAAGGACACCTCCCAATCAAGGAGATTCATTTTGCCATTCTACTCCACCTCATAGTGTTTCAGAACAGCCAGCTTCACCTTCTCTTACGCCTGTTTTCTTGGGAGTGGTATAAGAATTCTTGTTCCTTTTCTTAGCACCACCATGAAGTCTCAGTACAAGATGAAGAGTGGACTCCTTTTGGATGTTGTAGTCAGACAAGGTCTGCCATCGACCAGTTGCTTTCCAGTAAAGATGAGTCTTTGCTAATCAGGAGGGACTTCTTCCTTATCCTGGATCTTGGCCTTGATTGTGTCCAAGGGTTCACCCTCGAGGGTGATAGTCTTCCCAGGAGGGTTTTTACGAAAATCTGCATCTTGTCGGTGTTTCCACTGAGGATGGTGGATCAAAAACCTCTCAATTTCATTTTCATAATGAAAATGTTAAGGAAAATTCTCAAATCATCAAATATGAAGTCAGAATATAACTACAGAAAGACAGCTGCCCCTCTTTTAACTCCCAGTATCATTCATTGCTCCCAAGTACAGAGACTTTTGCTATTGAGGTTAACTGTTGTTTCCTGAATCCTTGAATCCTGGATTGCCCAGGATACTAAGAGTAACAAAGTCTCATTGGTTTTTAAATATTTACTACCAACAAAATTTTGTTTTACCGTGATGGAAACAAGGGTTTATGACATTTTCCAGCTTAAAAAAAAAATCAGTATACAATGGAAAGTAAGAACAAAGTAGCTGCTGAGGCTGCTTATAAACAATCACACACCTCATGGGATTGGGTTCCCTGTTGGAGGTTGAGGTCATGGTTTCACAGGACAATCAAGTTAATTGGTCTACTAAAACAGTTAGAGCTTCTATTTTACCTCTGAGTTTGTTGTGTGGTGCCTGCGATCTTAAAACCACCTAAGTGCACAACAATTGGTTTCTATTTGCTTGGAGCAACAGAGAAAGGAAAGACAGGAGACTAGGAGCCGGAAATGGAATGTGTGGCTAAATTGCCACATAACGATAGCTACCTTTGTCATAGGACCCAAGGTTCATTACTGAACATTTTGGCTGAAAATTCTATAGAAAGTTTCTGATCAAAAGGGTGGAAATACAGAACAGAAATAAAAATTCTCATGGAATCCAGATTTTCTGAAGCTATGAAGGCTGAATGAGCCCTGAACTTATGTCCTGTTGCTATTGTTGTTGTTGTGTGCCATCATGTCCTAATCAACTCATAGCTGACCCTCAAGTGAGTTTTCCTAAGATAATTCTTAAACACTAAGCTAAAAATATTCCCTGAATTCTGCTTAAAAATGAAATATTAATTTAGCCTGATATGTAAAGAGTGTCTGCCTTGAGCACTATTTACTATCAAATTGTGATCAAATTGACAATAGCAACTTGAAACAGACAGGGCATTGTGTTTGTTAGTGGGGAAGGGAAGAACTCTGAAAAGAAAGGTAAGAACTATTTACCTTCTTGAAAAATGTAATAAATGTGATTGATTTGTACATGCAGAACTCTGAATTGCTGTATATTTTTGCTCATGGTGTTTTCAATGATAACAAATAATGAAAAATATGATTTTAAAAAGAATATTAAAAAAAAAAGGTTAGTCATCTGGGCCCCACTTGGTCCTTGTAACTCTCTTCTTGAAAGTAAAAATCCCAAGTTCAAACACTTACTGCACAGATGAAGCATGTGTCATGCCAAGTGTGTCCCAGGGCTTCGATAAACTTGTCACCAGCTTCCACAGGGAAATCACAGCCATGACACTTGGTGCTGAACAGATTGATGTAGTCTGAAAAGAAAGGAAGAGTAAGAACCAGTCAAGCAGCAGGCAGGATGAAGTGACTCCTCCTTCATCTACTCAGTGCCAGGGCAACCCCAAATCTTGCTGGCTATTTGTCTTCTTACAGACCTATTTGGTTGAATGATGGAGTTTTTCTTCTTTCAAAAATTGCCATGGATATTCTGCAGCCTCAAGGTTAGTCACCAGTTTGTGATTGCCTGATTTACAAATAATCTTTGGGATTGCCATTAACTTTCTGCAAGGTGGCTTCTTCTCTGTTTTTGCCACATTTTATAATACCAGCAGTCAGAAAATCAATTGCATTGGGAAAATGGGCTGTCATGGACCTCTTCAGAATGCTGAAAAGCAAAGATGTTAGTCTAGAGACTAAGGTGTGCCTAACCCAGGCCATGGTAAATTATTTGTTATACTTCAGAGAGCTGGACAATGACTAAGGATGACGGAATAAGAATAGATGCTTTAGAGGTGTGGTGTTGGAGAAGTAATTTTTTCCCCCAGTTTTTATTACTATTATTAATTTTAATGAAATTTACAGATATTTTGGATTTCCATTCATTCATTGTTGCACTTTTCTTCCTGCCCACCCCTCCCCTCCAGTTCGTTCTTCTCTTTGAAAAGTAAAAGAAAAATGTTTTCATTGCTATACTATCCCTCCCTGCAAGTCCACTCCACTACGCAGCTTTCGTTCAGGATTCATGTCATGAGAATAATACCTAATCATATATACCTTTTAAACAGTTCTCTCTCTCTCATCTGTTTCAATGAAGTATACATAATTTATCCCATCTTTCTCAGTCTCCTCCCCAACCCCCATGTCAGTCCTGTTTTACAACAGTGACACTATGCAGTATTTGTCCTTTTGTGATTGAGATATTTCGCTCAGCATAATGTTCTCCAGGGTCACCCATTTTGAATACTATTTCATGAGTTCCTTGTTTTTCAATTCAGCGTAGTATTCCATTGTGTGAATATACCACAGCTTCTCTATCTATTCATTTGTTGATGGGCACTTAGGTTGTTTCCAACTCTTTGCTTTTGTGAACAAAGTTGGGATAAACATGGGTGTGCATAAACCTGTTTGGGTGGTGGTTACAGTTTCTTTGGAGTACATTCCAAGTAGTAGAATTGCTGGGTCAAATGGTATTTCTATTTGCAACTTTTGTAGAAAGTGCAATACTGCCTTCCATAGTGGCTTCACCATTTTACACTTCCACCAACAGTGAATAAAGGTTCCAGTTTCTCCACAACCTCGCCAGCATTTGTTGTTTGCTATTCTGTTAAATTTTGCTATTCTTGCTGGGGTGAGATGATATCTCATAGCTGTTTTTACTTGCATCTCTTTTAGAACTAGGGATTTTGAACATTTCTTCATGGGTTTGTTGGCCATCTGAATGTCTTCTTTGGTGAAGTGTCTGCTCATATCCTGTGCCCATGTTTCAATTGGGTTATATACCTTTATCTTGTTGTGGTGCTTGGGTACTTTATAAATTCTAGATAAAAGTCCCTTGTCTGACATGTCATTACCAAATATTTTTCCCCAGTCTGTGTCTTCCCTTTTTATCCTGTTGGAGAAGTTTTGGGATGTGCTCTATTTTATCCTCTCCTGGTTGTAGATTTTCCAGGATGCTTGGAAGACTGTTTATGTTGTGGATTAGGACATCCAGAGTTCTTCCAAGCTTTTCTTTAATGACATTTGTAGTCCTTGGTTTTAGTCCTAGGTCCATAATCAACCTTGAATTGCTTGAATTGGTTTTTTTGTATGGAGTGAGGTGTGGATCTTGCTTGAGTTTACTGCAGAGAGTTTTCCATTTTTGGCAGCACCGTTTGTTAAAAGGCTGTAGTTTCCTCACTTGACTGATTTCATCTCCTTGTCAAAAATGATTTGACCATAGGTAGAAGGGGCAGAATTCCGGGGTTTTCAATTCTATTTCCTTAATCTATGTGTCTGTCATTGTACCAGTACCACAATGTCTTGACCACCATGGCAGTGTAATAGGATTTTAAATCAGGCAGTGAGATGTCTCCTACCTTGTTTTTCTTTTAAGGAGTGCTTTGCTTATTTGGGGCCTCTTACCATTCCAAATGAAATTTGAGATTGTCTTTTCCATCTCATTGAAGAACGGAATTGCTATTTGTATTGGGATTACTTTGAACATGTAAATTGCCTTTGGTAGTATTGTCAATTTCACAATATTGAGTCTACCTATCCATGAGCAAGGGATATTCTTCCACTTCTCAAGGTCTCTTTTTGTTTCTTGTAATAATGTTATGTAATTTTATTCGAATAGATCCTTTGTGGTTCTGGTTACATTTACTCTCAAGTATTCAATCTTGTGATTAGCTATTGTGAAGGGTATTAATTTTCATAGCTCCAGTTCTGTATTCTCTTTGTCACTGTAGAGAAATCCAATTGTTTTTGTATGTTGATCTTGTATCCTGCCACTTTGCTGAACTGGTCAACAATGTCCAGTAGTTTTCTTGCTGAGTCTTTAGGGTTTTTTAAGTATACTATCATATCATCTACATAGAGAGAAAATTTTACTTCATCTTTGGCAATTTGGATACCTCTTACATGCTTCTCTTCTCTTATTGCTATCATAAAGACTTTCAATACAATATTGAATAAGAGAGGTCATTATGGGCATCCTTGCCTAGTTCATGTTCTTAAAGGGAATGCCTTTAACTTCTCTCCACTGAGAACAATATTGGCTCTCGGGTTTGCATATATACTTTTTATTGTGTTGAAGAAATTCCCCTATAATTCTATTTTGTTGAGTGTTTTAATCAAGAAAGGGTTTTGGATTTTGTCAAAGGCCTTTTCTGCATCAATTGATAGGATCATGTAGCTCTTGTTCTTTGCTTTGTTAATATGATGAATTACATTGATTGTTTTTCTAATGTTGAGCCATCTTTGCATACCTGTTATGAATCCCACTTGGTCATGGTGAATTATTTCTTTGATGTAATGTTGGATTCTATTAACCAGTATTTTATTCAGGATTTTTGCATCTATTTTCATAAGAGATATTGGCCTACAGTTTTCTATTTCGGTGATGTCCTTTCCTGGCTTTCGTATCAAGGATATGTTTGCGTCACAGAATGAATCTGAAAGAATTCCATCTTTTTCTATTTCCTGAAATAGTTTATATAGAATTGGTGACAGTTCTTCTCTGAATGTTTGATAAAATTTACTTTTAAAACCATCTAGTCCAGGGCTTTTTTAGGCTGGAAGTTGTTTTATTACCTTTTCAATTTCTTTTTTTGTAATGGGTCTGTTTAGGTTTTCAATTTCGGTTGTTGTCAGTTTAGGTAGGTTGTGCATTTCTAAATATTTGTCCATTTCCTCTAGGTTTTCTTATTTGTTTGAATATATTTTTTCATAATACTCTAATGTTGTTTGTTGTTGTTGTTATGTACCATCGAGTCACCTGCAATTCATAGCGCTCCTATGTATAGGAGCCCTAAATGCTGTTCTATCCTGTGTCAACCTAGCCATCTCAAACACACTTATTCTCACCATCCAGTCACAGAATTGATCCATCTCATCAAAGGTCTTCCTCTCCTGCGCTTCCCCTCCACTCTGCCAAACATGATTTCCCTCCCCAAGGACCAGTCCCTCCTTGCAACATGCCCAAAGTATGTCAGACGAAGCTCCAGAATCCTTGACTCCAAGGAGCATTCCAGCTTCTCCTTATCCAGGCAAACCTGTTTGTTCTCCTAGCAGTCCATGGTATATTCAACACTCTTCTCCAGCACCACAACTCAAATGCATCAATTCTCTTTCTATCATCCCTAGTCACTGTCCAACTCTCTGATGCA